AAGGTGACATCTGTGACATCACAGACGTACACTAGCATATATATGAGGAGGCAACAGAGGAGGGAGCCGTCGCAGTGGAACCCGAGCCTCACCTGTAACAGAAGACGCTTTGAACGCTTCCTCGCAATTATCTGTAAAATTCAGCACCATGCAGATTGTCGTTTTGAGCATGCTTTTAATTGTTACTGTGTCAGCACAGTTTGGAAAGCATGTATATGTGGATATTCCAAAGCGATGGCAAGAAGCTCGAGACTACTGCAAAGATAAATACACTGATCTTTCCCCTTTCACTACACCATTGGATCAAGAGAGACTGAAAAATGCAACAATGGACAAATTGAATTCCAAAATGACAAAGTTGGCCTGGATCGGCCTCTACAGAGACAAGGAACAAAAGTGGAGGTGGACTGGAGAAGAACTCGCAACAAATATACAAACATGGGCTGATGGAGAACCTCTGGACAATGAGACATTTGCTGCGACTTACTGGCATTGTGACCGAAAAGGGTGGCATGGTGTCAGATCAGATAGAGAAATTCCCTTTTTCTGCTTCAACCTGATGGTGGATGACGTGAAGAAGACCTGGGAGGAGGCTCTGGAGCACTGCAGAGAAACTCACACTGACCTCACCAGCCTGAACTCTGAGACCGAGCAGCGCCTGGCCCTGAGCGAGATCCAGCACGACCACATCACAGAGCGGGTGTGGATCGGCCTGCGTTTCTTTGGTGATCGCTGGCTGTGGGTGAACGGTGACCCTCTGGTGTACGAGGCCTGGCCCGAAGGAGACCAGGAGCACCAGTGTCCTCTCAGGAAACGCTGCGGAGCTCTAACCAAAGAGGGACACTGGGAGAACTGGGACTGTGTGGAAAAACTCCACTTCATCTGCTATTGAATCTGTCATGTTATTAATGTTTTAACAGAGGTGGGCACAGTGAATAATTTGTTTTAACTTCCATTCATTCGTAAAAAAAATCTATTTTATTGAAAAAAAACTAAACCATCAGATTTTTGCCATGTCAATAGAGCCGAGTTCTTAAGATGATTTATTAGAAATCTCAAAATTACACACGTGTCTGTATAAAAATCTACAATTAACAGAAACTTTTTTGACATGTCATCACCGTCTTCACTCGAGCATCACTCCAGAAATTCATGTAGGTGACGCAGCACTTCACAATAAAAGCACCGGGGCAGAGAAGGGCATTTTGGCTCGTTATCCAATAAGCTCTCTGAACTGCAGCAGGCGCTACGCTCTTGTTCATCATGAGTGAGCAGGTTTTTGATGTTAACTTTGCTTCTTTAGTAATATTTCAACGTCTAAAATGCCAAATATTTTGTTTCGTCAATTGTTTTTTAGTTGTAATGGTCATGATTTTAACACTAGGCATGCTTCAAGAAGTTGTTTTACACTTCCACCCTCAAACACTAACGTAAGACAACGTACTGTTATGCATCGAGGCATGAAGATGTGGAATGATCTTCCATCAGATTTTGCAGACGATCTCCTTGGTGTGTCAGGGCCTTTACTCTGCATTGTTTAAGTAGGAACAATAATTATAAGATTTGTCCAACACTGTATTTTATTGATTGCATAGATATAACGTGAACATATGAGAGATTTCCTTTTTGACTTGCAATAGGTTCTTGATGTTTTTGATTTGTACTTTGCCTGTTAGTGTGCTGTCATTTATTCTATTTTTGTATTTTTATGTTCCGTCTTGGACTTTCAATAATTTAATTTGTGTGGCTTATGAAATTCATGTTTGTATGAGTGGACCACAGGAAGAGTAGTTGCTAATGGGGATCCAAATAAACAAATAAATTACAGTGTAAAAATTGAATTTCCCCTCACAGGATTAATAAAGTATATCTTCTTCTTCTTCTTCGATTTAATCATGTCTATAAACCCCTCTATTTCAGCCCTGCTCAGAACAGGCTGTTTCTGTGTCTGTGCCTTTAAATATGTAAATGAGCTGTGTCTGACCACGCCCCCTCTCTGGAAGGGTTTGGGTGTCTGGCTTTCTCACTCCATGTCCTATTGTTTACATTGAGAAGGCAGACTCAGAGGGCAGAACAAACACCTAGCTGTGGGAGTGTCACCCACCTGGGGGAGGGGCTACTGCCCTTTGTGATGTCATGAAGGGTAAAATCTGGTATCATGGTAACTCTAACAGAAATAAATCAAAACCTAATCTGAATTTGAACTCGTTCAAAAAGTCAAAAATTAGATGTTTTTTTTTTTAAATCACAAACTTTATTGACATTAAAAACCAGGCGGGAACAGGAACAGCATCCGTCTGAGCAAACACCTGAACAGACCGAATACCTACAATAACAATGAGCACGTACAATATAAAGTCGCAGTAACACAGGAGCAACGACTACAGGAGTGGTGTTTGGGTGAAGAGACTTCCAGGTGTGATTTATGGCACGTGTACGTGTAGGGCACAGTTAGACACAGTTTGTGTTTCACCATAAACACTGAGGCAAACAAAACTCAAGTTATCCTCTTGTAATAAAACCTTCCATTATAACACAAATCACATTTTAGAGCGCACACTGTCCTCATAGTGTTTACTTCAGAGAACGAGATGTTTCTCTTCAGACATTAACTTCTTTAAAGGAGCAATATGTAAGATATCTACTGAACTTTAAAGTGACCTTACTATATGATCAGACATTAAGGAAACATGCTATGTTGAAGTGCTGGCTTCTCTGACAACAATGCAGCAGCCAGTATGTCCTCCTTCTAACTTTAGATTCTGCTCCTGAATGCTCTGGATTTGTTTGGACCAGAGAAGGTAGGCGGTTTTAAGGCGCCCCCACACGGCCGTTTTGGACACCCCTCGGTTTGCCAGATATGAGAGCAGTTATCAGGCCAACAGGTGTTGCAGCGATGGAAGCGGGCAAGAGAAGTGGTTCAGATAGAAGTGATTGTACCCGACCTAAAAAGCCTCTGCATGTTTCTAATAAGCTCCACGAGCAGAAACGTGCTCAAACTAGGATCAATATTGGAGATGCTTTTGAAAAATGGAGAGAGGTTAGAACACAGAAAGGTTTACAGACCCATGCAGAGCTGGATAAACACTGAAGCTTCAGAGTCCACCACATGGTGACCTGAGTGAGCATCCACTCTAGAGAGGAAAGGAGACAGCTCTCTACAATTTAGACTGCAGTACCCATTTTAACCACTAGGTGTCAGAGTTACATATTGCTCCTTTAAAGCTTCACTGCTACTGAGATCTTGTGTTTGGTATTTACTCTATGAATACTTTCTTTTATTATAACTATTATCAATATAACTCCAAAAAATAAATACAATCTACACCAAACGGAGCACTTTACAAGCAAAACAAAAATACGGCTGATAATTCTGTTTTTTTTTCTTCAATATTTACAAGCAGCTTTCGAGATCCATCCAGTGTCAACAATGACTCAGTAAAACTTTTTATAAACACAGGAGAATCATTCTAAAACAAGGTAAATGTTGGTGAAACATACCGACAGTGTTCTAAATAAATCACAGGCGGTAACTCAATGACAGCATGTCACCCTGTTAGTAAGATGAATGTGTAGAACACCCGTTAAGTTAAAACACAGGAACTAATGAACGTGGCATCGCTGTTTTTGACATCGTACATTTTATTTTATTTTAAAAAAAGGCCTTTAAAAGACATAACTCATAAAAACTCCTGGGGGGTATAGTATGAAGCAAGTTCAACAAACCCTGGTCACCTGGCTTCACCAACGCTGAAAAATGAGATCACACAGAGCTGGTTATCAACGTGGTCAGTTAACTCGGAGCTTAATGAGCGTGCTCACAAATCAGAGGCGGAGTCAGCTTCCTGTAAGCATACAGGATCACGAACTGCGGTTGTTAAAATAGTAATAACACTTTTTAAGAGTGCATGTTTTAAAACAACATAATCTCTGTTCATTTAATGAGCGATTGAATTAAAAGGTATTAAAAATGATTTTAAAAACTACGGCCATTTAAAAAGACACTGGCTGCAGGTCAGATTCAAACCCGGGTCGATCGCTTAGAGGACTTTATCCTCTGTAACATGGGGCACGATCTAATCGCTAGGCCATCTGCGCCCCATTAGAAGGCAGTTTAATTAATACATTTTGGGGCGATTCATGCCTTTATTTTGAAAGAAAAGTGGACAGAGTGGATAATAAGCACGAGAGAGGGAGAGAGAGAGAGAGAGATGACATGTGGGAGAGGAGCTGCAGGTGGGATTCAAACCCGTGACGCCCGCTTTGAGGACTATACCCTCTGTAATATGAGGCATGATCTGAGGCCATCTGCGCCCCGTCCCGTCAGAAGGCAGAGTTTCATACCGGTTGCCCAGAGTTAACCCTGACGTTACCTTGACAACCCAAACAACCTGCTTCGTAGTACACCCCCCTGACCTTACAGCGATAAAAACACAAATAGAAGAACATCTGGTTGTGCTTGTGCAGAGTTAAACTTGCTCCAGTTTCATAAAAACTTTATATTAGCATAGTTGGCACGGCAACAACAGCTTTATTGTGATTTTGTCTACCCACAATGCCGCTCTGTGAGCACTCATGATTGTCGGAGCCTGAAAACAATAAAGTCTGCTTGTTGTTGGCGTTGAAGAAAAGATCGCTCAATCCAAAGCACGTATCATAAATATGTGCAGAGCTCCTTTTGGTTACCTCAGCAGACGGGACACCAGCTCGGAGAGTGTCCCATTTCTCTTCACAGCATTTAAAAAAAAAAAAAACAACTCAGGGTTGTCACGGTTACAGGCCCTCTGGGAAAGGCCTTTTTTAAAGTGCTGGATACACGTCAGAGCGTCCAAATGTAAAAACGAGAGGAGGAATGAGATCACTTCACAGCAGGGGGCGTCACTCCAATCCAAGATTTACAGAAGAGTGTGTGTCAGGTGCAAACTTACACACACAAACATTTAAATACCAACACACACACACACACACACACACACACACACACACACACACACACACACACACACACACACACACACACACACACACACACACACACACACACACACACACACACACACACACACACACCTGGTTCCTCTTTTCTAAGTTCTTGGTTTTGCTGCTCCTCCTCGACTCCCTCGTTCACTTTCACTTTCAGGACTTCCAGTGAGAAACTTCTGTCAGTCACAAACTCAGACGTATCCGGTCTCGGTCTCGTCACGGCTCTTCAGGATTTGAGGCCCATTCGAGCCATCAGCTGTTCGTAGACAGTCCAAGCCATGGCGGCCATGAGAGTGCGTCGCAGAGACCTGGGTACGGCCCCGCGGAAAAACCCAGCCACGCCGTTCTCCTGAGGGCGAGCGAGGACAGAGAGGGGTTAGATTTGTTTTTGAATGTTACGACGAGCATCACATGCGGTGTGGAATCAACACTCACCTTGTAGATGTAGCGGATAGCGTCCGCCATGCTCCAGTGGGACGGGCTGATCTGAATGTGGGTCTTCACCACGTCTGCAGGCTGTGTGACCAATGACGCCATGACGCCGGCAACCATCCCACAGCCGAAGTTGACCAGCGGGGCGTAGGCCGACGAAGCGACCTCTGACAGAATGAAAACCAGGAATCAAGTATTCACCTGTTCATTGTGTAAAGACGACCTCGATGCCCGTTTGGTCACCAGGAGGTGCCGCAGAATTTGGCAACATTTCAGACAGTGCTGAAGCATTTTGTATTCTCCTCATCTTTTGTTTTGGTCACATGTAGCCTAACCTTTGACCTCCCAATCGTTGTGTTTAACCCTCAGTCATCAGTTTAATTTACGACCCTCTTAAGTCACTAAGGACAAAAATGTCCATTTCCAAAAATCTGATATAAAAATAGAACAAATTGAAAATTTTCCTACTTTTTTCTGCATACATCTCTTAAACAACTTCAGCCCTGCTCAAAACTACCAAACATTCAATCATTTTTAGGAATTTAACTCTTTAAATGCCAGTTTGATTACATGATGTCACTGTTGTTATTTATGAAAAAAAAAAACACAAAAATTAGTTATTTTCTATACGAAAAATATTTGGTGTCTGGGGGATTTTCAGTCATCAGTAAAAATATTGACTTTGATGCATTGTTAGTTTTTGTGTAGCATCAGATTTAAAATGTAGTTCCCTGTTTGGACACTGGAGGGCGAACAAAAAACTGATATAAAAATAGAAGAGATTCATATTTCTTTTCTCTCTTATCTCTTAAACAACTCCAGCCCTGCTCAAAAATATCAAATATTGAATAATTATCAGAAATTTAACTCTTTAAATGCCAGAATCATGTTATCAAACTGGCATTTAAAGAGTTAAATTCCTGATAATTACTCAATATTTGATCGTGTCATGAATTTAAAAAAGCTTCCTGTACATTTTGATGATCTCAGCTGTGATTGGCTGAGGTGGGTGCGTCTCTCACCTTGAGGCAGCGTCTTCTTGGCCTGGCTGTAGAACATGACGTAGATGCCGGAGAACGGAGCGTCCCGGAGCAGCGTTGCGGTCAGGCCCGAGAACAGAGCCCTGAGTCCCTCCGTCTCGTACACGCTCCTCAGGGCGCCGGCCACGCTCACGTAGTTGTAACAGCCGCTCTGAAACGCCATCAAACATGCCAAGTTCACCTCGAAACACAAAGCTACATACTTTGGTTTAAATGCTCCTTTTGTGGTGATTATTCTACAAGTTTATCACAGTCGATGTGTGGAGGTTATAGTCCTCAACACAGCGGACATTTATCATCAATATACTGAAAACAAATGTGTGTAAAGAAAGTCAGGCTCACCTCAAAGCGGGTCTTGATGACAGTGAACGGCAGCATGGAGACGCCGGCCACGGTTCTGGCGCCCGCTCCGAGCAGAACGGCCTCCCCGGCGTTGGGCGCCTGGTCCAGGAAGAAGTGCTGCTTCAGGGAGTAGAAGGTGCTGAAGTAGATCCCCACCCCGGGGATGCAGCGCACAAACGACTGTGAGAGAAAAACACAAGAAGAAGCACACATATCTCTAATTTCAGCTTAATGTGATGATTCAAAGTCTTATTAAACCTTTAAATATTCAACACTTAAAAAAACGAAATAATTTTTAAGCTTTATACGGATGGGAAGCTATTTGTTTGGTTTCATAATAAAGTCTGCCCAGTCTGAGACCGAGTCAAAATGATTTTGATTCCGATTCTGAGACCTTTAAAAAAACGTTTTCTCGAGACCAAGACTGATTTCAGGTACTGCAACACTAGTCTGTACAACATTTTCCGAGTGTCTGTCCGGCTCTTAGAGTCTAAAAGAGAAGAAACACTTATTTAATCTGACAGAGGAAGTGAAGGATGTCAAAATCTATTCGATTCAATTTCAATACCACGTCAGTGTTTCTCAAAATACTGGAGAGGGTCGCCCAAGTATATTTCAGACTTTATTTTAATTTATCCATAAAGTCACTGCAAGCATGGGGGGGGGGGAGAGAAAGAGAGTGAGAGAGAGAGACTGCTGACTCGTCGTGACTCCCTTAAAAATCACATATTATGAAACAATGCCATCAACTCCATCTCTCAGGTTCAGCTTCATTTTACAGGAAACACTGATGGTGCTTTTTAAACACAATCCATCCATCGTTAGCTTAATGATCCAAAGTATGGAAAAGTGCCACAGTTTAAAACCTTCAGCTATTCAGTAAGTCTCTTAACATAAAGCTGCTGCGAGAGAGAACGCTGTCCAAATTGCACAAATACATGAACCACTTTTCAGAAACTAACGTTGATCATTTGTGCAGTTTGGACAGCGTGCAGAAGAAGAAGTTCCTCTTTAGGTGTGACTCTGGTATCGTGATAAACCTTAAGCCCAGCTCACACGGCACAAGTTAAAATGTTTTCCTAATTATTATTCTATTTTTTGGGGGCTTTTTGTGCCTTTATTGTAGAGATAGGACAGTGGATAGAGTCAGAAATCAGGGAGAGAGAGAGAGTGGGGAATGACATGCAGGAAAGGAGCCACAGGTTGAATTTGAAGCTGGGCCGCCCGCGTTGAGGACTACAGCCTCAACCACCAGTGCCACCAGCGCCCCATCTTTCCTAATTTTGAAATTGAGGTAGCATCGTATACATGAGGAGAATGTGAACTGATATTCTTCTCCTTAATCTGAAACATGCTCACTCTACAAGACGTGAAAATCATGGCACCTGTGGCTCCTTTCCTGCATGTCATTCCCCACTCTCTCTCTCTCTCCCTTATTTCTGACTCTATCCACTGTCCTATCTCTACAATAAAGGCACAAAAAGCCCCCAAAAAAATTTTTATAAAATAAAATAAAACACTGCACATGACCTTTACGTAATCAACGGAGCCGCCGGTTAAATTTGTGATTCTAATGTTCTGTGCAGAGCGGAAATAAACATTTAACCTAAAATAAACAAGTGCTGCTGGTCTCCCTCTCGCGCCAAAGAACAACCTCAGGTGTTTATAACTACAGGTATCCTTGTATTCAAAGATACCAATAAAAAGGTCGGAGACTCACCGGTGAAACTCCCTTCCACAGACTGAAGAAGTTCTCCGTCCTTATGACAGTGATGAAAACCTTGAACATCCCCACCTTTGGAGCGCTGCAGGAGGACGTTTAAGGAAAAAGTTTAAAGATACAAACAAAGTAAAAATACACAGAACAGAACCGTTTCTGAAAGAAGGTTTTGTACAAACTCTGAGTCAGTTAACCCTGAAATGAGGGAAACTCTGGGTTATCCGTTTCAGAGAGGGAGGTCACTCAAACCCGAGAAAGAGGGGTAACTCCAGCCCGTTACAGAGGGAGAGGTAACTTTACCTCTGAGTCAGTTACTATGGTAACTGAGTCTGTGAACCTAACCTGGTCGGGATACAGGTTTTCTTCAATGAACCCCGAGTTTCTCTCTGACTCCGCTCTCTTTTAGAGCCAGAAACGTCGTTTCATTTCCTCATTCTTTCATTCAGTCCGTATCACGCCGTGTTAGTGAAGAGTCACCGTTTGTCTGAATAAAAATCCAGGTTGTTTTAATATGATATGTTAGGATGGTAATACTACAGCGTATAAGACAAACTATTTTATGGAACATGGCGTCTTTAATGCACATTCAAATAGAATGAAGTAGCCTACTTTGTTTAATAGGCTGTCAAATGATAAAAATACCACCCTGACCATAGTTTGTTCTTATATTTCATTTTGAGCTGTTTTAAAGTTGCTTTTCTTCCGCTGGATTGCATCTTAATGAAAATAAACTGTAGGTTTAATACAATTCCACTAGTTTTGACCTGCAATATTCTAATTTTGATTAAATACTAAATGAAGAGACTTCATTACGCACTGATGCGAGCAGCTGTTTTCTCTTACACCACGTCTCTCTCCTTTGCCGCTGAGGTGCAGCAGTTTTACTTTTTTTCCTTCTTAAAACCTGTTCATATTCGCCGTATGTCTGCATGAAGATATTGATATATTTTAAGATGGTTAAAGTAGGAGGATCTCTTTTTTGTCACCTGTTGCCATGGTGAATCGTAGAATCGGGGCTCCATTCATGTTGGCTTTTTATCGTTGTTGCGCTGAACACCGAGTTTAGCTGATCTGGAACCGAAAACTCAGAGTTTCCCATCTAAGAGTAAATGAACTCAGAGCTCAGGGTTAGACTGAGGGTGTGTTGATCCTTCTTTTAGAAACGGGCCCCTGTTTGGGGTTTTCAGAATTCTTAGAGGAAGTCACAACCCGACAGTGTGATTACATGATGCTGCTGCTGTGACTAATTGTCCTATATGGGTCACACCAGCAGGTCCAGGCTGACACTGCCTGCGATTGTCGACCCACCCTGCTGCATGCATGTGTGTGTGTGTGTGTG